ATCAAACATGGGTGCTGGTGCTGGGATCATCAAACATGGGTGCTGGTTTTCTCCTTCCAGCCCCTTCTTACCTCCTCTGCCCTGTTCATGTTCACCCCCACTCATGATCTCAGTCTCACTCCTTGTTCATGTTTTATTCATGTATGGGTAGTCTATGACAGGTAAAATCACAAGGGTCTGTATTATTCACTCTGCCTGTTTTGACAGTGCTGCAGATGGAACCCAGGTCCGTTTATATCCCCGACGAGTCCCCTGTCACCAAGCTGCGAGCCCAGCCCTTAGACTTTGACCTCCTTTCGTAGCTCAGACTGTGCAGCCTTTCCATACGTCCCCAGGCTTGGTGTTACTCAACTAGAACCGAAATTAGGAATTGTCTGTGGGCAGACACAAACAGGTTTCATTTGCACGGAATGGCTGGGAATGGAGATATGGTGGAGACAGAGAAAATGCTATGTTCAGCTGGGTATGGTGCGATGATCAGAAGGAATTGCCCTTTGGTCATGTGACCCTCAACCAGTCCACTGGACTTTAGCTCTCCCGTTGAAAAAACAACTATTTTGCCCAATTCGTAGCCCTGTTATGAGAAATGAATGAAGCAGTGTGTGTGAAAATGCTTTTAGGCTCAAAAAAACTGTTCCAGTGTCTTTGTCTTTACTTCACAAATATTTAACTTTCAGCGGGACTAGGCTACTGGAAATCCAAAGCATTTTACATTGACCTACTAATCCATAGAAAAAGTGGAAAAGATAAAAGATTTATGATGCCATCCAAGTTCGATATAACCCAGATGATAAAAATATTCACTCAGAGCTGTCAGCACGGTGGTTTCACAGATTCCAGACTTCAGAACCCAAGTTTGAACCTGGGGAAATTCCCTTCCGAGCATCCAGTACATCTGCAGCACTGCTAAAGGAAAGAGCACAGCTCTCAAAACCTCTAAGGGGAAGAGAATGAGCCATTCTCCAGAATGAGGATATGGGCACAGACACACCTGCCAAGGCCTCTGGAAGTGATTCCAAAACCCCAACCTGCCCTGCCCTTCCTGCTAATCCGTGTTCTGTTGGTGAGCACAGCAAATGCTTCCTGTTTCTGGCCTTGAACCTACACCTCAGCCTTCCTATTTGTTCTCTCATCTAAGCCCTAGCTCGCTGGCAACTGCAGTAGCCACATGGTTAAGAACATCTAGGAA